TGTAATCGAAACTGCAATGTCTTATAGTGAAAATTGAAATACCGCGTACATTTTTACCCTTGCGACACGCGAATTCTGCCACGTGCTGACTCACGTACTACCAAATTTGCCTCTGCAAGTATTCGGGATTACGTGGCGTCCCGAACAATGGTTGCCAAAGTGGCACCTTCGCAGCATCCACACTCTTAATGAGAAACTCTTTTCAAGATGCGTGAAAATATTTCTAAGTAGTTTAAAAAACTTTCCATTTATAAGAATTATAAGACACCCAAAACCTCCCCAAATACAAGATAACCCAAGCCTTTTTTCTAGTGTATGAGATAAGATATATACGTCTTATATCCGGGCGATGACGGTACAGTGCGACTCGGGCAACTGCTCAATATCGAGTCAATTGAGAAAGCTTGCTTTCTCATTCTTATCAATTGGCATCGTTCTCATTACAAATGGCATCGTTCTCATTACAAATGGCTTATTACAACATTTGCATCAACGTTGAACACAAGCTAGTGCAATCGAATAACACTAGCTAAGATGTACCCTATCCAAGTGGCATTAGCAAGGCGGTTTACTCTGGGGTGGGTGGTGGGAATGTTGAGTGAGCCGTTTGAAAATCGAGAAGCGTGGGTGGAGGGAAATGAACTCCAACCCACGGTTTTTGTAGTTGGAGAAGGGCGTTTAGCGCGCTTCGACGATGCCAATTGTGCAGTACAAGCAGCTTCGCTTTCACAATACACAATTTTAAAAAACACAATGTGTGTTTAAAAATTATAATATTGAGAAAGCTTGCTTTCTTATTCTTATCAATTGGCATCGATCTCATTACAAATGGGGTCTCTGAGACATGGGCAGCGGGGGCCTCCGGTTGCGTACGAGTGCCTCTGAGTGTTGTGCCGATGACGCTGCATGCGTCAGGTCTTGTAGGTTACGGGAGGCTTCGATAAGAGGCTCGACGTATGGTGTAACATACATTTCCTTTGCTGAGTCGCTTCGCCATCTGCCCAGCCGTTTGAAGACCCTGTCTGGCACGCCCGTGTTGGCTGCTATTGTGGCTGCACCTTTTCGGAAAGAATGTGTGCCGAGCTGCAGGTCTCCAAGGCCCACCTTTGCGAAGGCTTCCTTGCACCAGTTCCGGATCGTGGTGTATGAGGGTGGCCTTGCTTCGCCCTCACTGGTTGAAGCGTGGCCGAAGACCCGAATCAATGGTCCCTCTGACTGTGGGCCATAGCCGGCAAGTTGGATGAAGCGTTGGGTGCAGCGCACTGGGCAACAAGGGTCTGTCGTTGCTGCAATGGGAATCCAAGTGACATGACCAGCCTGATCGGTCTTGGAGTGTGGTATGAGAATCCACATGACCGCGTCGTCGAATTGGATGTCTTGCCATTTTATGGCTGCCAGGTCAGAATATCGCAGGAATCTTGAGTACATGAGGATGGGGATCAACCCTTTCTGAAACGTCGCGGGATCGTCGGACTGCAAGTAACTCGCGGCCATGTCCCGGACCTGTTGGATCGATACGGGTTCCTTCATACGAGTAGGGCGAGGGAAGTGTCGTTTTGCACAGTCACGGACTTGGGTGGTGAACGGTCCGGTTGTCGGGCATTTGCTCCCAGTCATGCGATGAGCGAAGCTGACCGCCGAGCACGTCAGCTGCACTACGGACAGGGTGGCTTTGCGTCGGATTGCGTGTACCAGGTAGAGCGCGAGGGTCATGTCGGATGCCGGAAGAAATGGGAGGTTCACTTTTGTGCAGAAGGCTCGAAACTTGGCCCAGTATGGTTCATATGTCCGGATCGTAGAATCGGCGCGAGATTGCGCGAGCATGTTGATCATTTGGTCGTGTAACTTTGGGAGCAAATCTGAACACAGGGCGTTGATGTTTTGAATTAGTCAAATGCCATTCTCAGTGCAATAATTGGGCTGTGCGGTAGTCCCATGCCTGAAAAAGCATTGGAATGGGACCTGTCATAATATTATCTTATTGTTCTAGCCTGTAGTGGGGTGCTCTATAGCGAGTACAACCCTTCTAGGGTTTGCTATTTGTATCCTCATTCTTGCTAGTTCAATCCTCTTTCTTCCTTCTAATTTTGACATGGTATCAGAGCAGGTCGATCCCCTTGGATCGATCCTGTGGGTGGGTTACCACCTCGCTTCCGCTGCTACTTTTTCCTCCCGCCGTGCGCCCCGAGGCGCGCGGCGGTTTTCTGCCCGCCGTGCGCCCCGAGGCGCGCGGCGGTTCATTGCCCGCTGTGCGCCCCGAGGCGCGCGGCGGGCTTCTCCACTACGTCGCGGCCCCGCCCCGATCGTCGCGGCCCCGCCCCTTGACGCGGCCCCGCTCTACGTCGCGGCCCCGCCCCTTGACGCGGCCCCGCTCTACGTCGCGGCCCCGCCTCGGCCCGTCGCCGCCCGTGCGCCTGCCCGGCTCGGCCCCGCCCTTCGTCGCGGCCCCGCCCCGGCCCGTCGCCGCCCGTGCGCCTGCCCGGCTCGGCCCCGCCCTACCTTCGCGGCCCCGCCCAACGTTGCGGCCCCGCCCTATGTCGCGGCCCCGCCCTACGTCGCGGCCCCGCCCTATGTCGCGGCCCCGCCCCGACCGTCGCGGCCCCGCCCCTCGTCGCGGCCCCGGCCCCGTCCCCCCCCCCCCCCCTTTTTCTCCCCTCCCCCCCAATTCCCGTCGTCCGTCGAGGCGACCTGAGGGGGCCGCGCTGTGGGGTGGCAGGTATGGGGGTGGCCAGTGTACTTTCCTCCCTTTGCTCCTCCTCCTCCTTTGTCTCCCACTGCTGCAGCTGTCGCTGAGGGGGGTGGTTGTGTGGGAGACTGGGTTTAGGGTTTTAGGGGGGTGCGTGGGAGTAGAGCTAGTGGTGTAGCAGTGGGTGTGTATCAGGGGGGTGGGACTGTGTGCGGGAGGATGAGCGGAGGTTGCCAGTTTGTCGTCAGCAGCACCTGTAGTCCGGGGCGCTGTCCCGGTAGCCCAGTCGTAGCCAGCTGTGCCAGCCGCCCGTGGGTCCGTTGCCCGTCCGCCGCTATTTGAGCCGCGGGGCCTGTTACTCCTGTAGTCCGGGCGCTGTCCGGTAGCCGCTGTGCCAGTCTGCCTCCTGTTGCCCGTGTGTCTGCAGCTTCAGCCGTCGCCTCCTGTCTCCTCTCCCCTCACTCTCCCTCCTCCTCCTCACTTGCCCGTTGTGACTACCACTAGCTTTGCTTATAATTGTGAACTCTAAACTATTTCTTCTTGAACTTGTGCTCAGAATGTGTGGTGACATTGTGATCCACCCTGAGCTTGTTTTGCTTTGCCTGCTCTGCTGATTACACCCCACTTTGGCTATGGGGGTGTGTCAGAATATTATCTTATTGTTCTAGCCTGTAGTGGGGTGCTCTATAGCGAGTACAACCCTTCTAGGGTTTGCTATTTGTATCCTCATTCTTGCTAGTTCAATCCTCTTTCTTCCTTCTAATTTTGACAGGACCCTGCGTCTAGGCATTGGCTTCCGTGTGTCAGAGGGATGTGCGCGTGAATGTGTGGAGCCCAAGTGCATGGGGAGGGTTGCAAAAGTGGCCACCAGCTTGCGCCTGGCCAGTGCGGAACTATCACTGTGAGTGATGCATGGGTGTGTTGTGCGTGATGGAGGACGGCTGGGACCAGTTGGGGCGGGGGGAAGGCGAAGTTGTTTTCGGGTGTCCACGCGATCGAGAACGCATCAACTACGATGGCTTCTGGGTGGGGAATCTTTGTGCAGAAGCGCGGCAGTTGGGTGTTGCGGGAGTTTGCGAAGAGGTCGATGGAGTGGGGCCCCCAACGACGTTCCAAGATGCGGAACCACGGCGTTTTCAGCGCGTAATCGTCGTGGTCGACCATTTTTGAAAGTTCGTCGGCGTGTGTATTGAGCTCGCGCGGAATCCATTCGATGATCAAGCGCGTGCCAAGCTCCATGCATGTTCGGATGATGCTCTTGCATGTCGTTGCGAGGTCGGGGCTGTGAGAGCCGCCTTTTCGAAGGATGAAGAACACGCCCTGGTTGTCCACCCGCACGAGAACGTGTTTTTGCTTGATCTTGGTCGCGTATGGTTGGAGCGCCCAAAGGACGCCTTCAATCTCCCGTCGCGTGCTGGACGTTCCTCGTAGCGGCTCTGACATGGTTGCGCTAGCTTCTTCGAGGCCGCCCGGGAATATGGTTAGAGTG